ATTTCCCACCCAATATAAGGGGAGCATGCAAGTTCTCACTCTCCTCCTTTCTGTTTCTGATTCTCAGCACATACCCTCTGCCACCTCCCAAGATTTGGGGGGTGGGGCAGGGAATAGAGGATTTGGGTAGTTTTAGGACTTACTCCTGACTCTGTGCTCAAGATCACACCTGGCAGAGCTAGAGGAATCATACAAGGTGCCCACAATCAAACTGTGAGCATTCAAGGCAAGGGTCTTAAGCCCTGTGCTATCTCTTGTAGACACTGTCCTGTCCTCCCCTTGTTCATCGGTTTGCTCGAGCAGGCCCAGTAATGTCTCCATTTTGAGACTTGTTGTTACTGTGTTTGGCATATTGAATACGTCACGAGTAGCTTGCCAAGCTCTGCCGTGCGGGCGAGATACTCTCGGTAGCTTGCCGGGCTCTCTGAGAGGGACAGAGGACTCGAACCTGGCTCGGTCGGGCTGGCTGCACACAAGGCAAACGCCCTACCACTGTGCTATCGCTCCAGCCCTTGTAATCTTTGTATAATCCCCACTCCCCACAGACGCAGAGTCTTAGATGGCCCCAGTTAAAAAATATGTTTGGGGTTTTTTCTTGTGCTTGTTTTATTTTTGTTTGGGGGCCATACCCAGTGAGGTTCAGGTCTTACTTCTGGCTCTGCACTCAGGATTCTCTCCTGGTGGTGCTTGAAGGACCATATGGGGTGCCAGGGATTGAACCCAGATTGGCCATGTGAAAAGCAAGCACCATATCTGCTGTACTATCTCTTCAGTCCCTCAATAACTCTCTTTGAAAGCAAAGGTATGATTTCCACATTTTTCCAGGCTTGCCCATCGAGGCATTTCATCCCTCAAGACCCAAAATCTCTACAATGCACCCACATTCTCCTTGCTGATGGTGTTTTGGAGTTTAAAAGAAGAAATCTAGGCCACGTCCATAAAAATGTCTTCCATTACATTCCCAGTTATGCTCAGACTGTTTTAAGGTTCCTCCGTGTTTACTGATTCTTCTTTAACTGCTGGTGTGGGTGGGTTCATGGTCACTTTTCTCAGGGGAGGAAACTGAGGCAAAGCGAGTTTCTCTGAGCCTTCAGAGAAGCCACTGTCCATGGGCACCAGACGGCAGGCTAGGTCTCCAGTTTCTCTGATTCCATGTCCAGTGCTTCTCTAACAAACACCGACAACAGAGGATTCCACAAGCCTTGTGTTTCATAAACCAAACAAGTACCTTGGGGTGTCTGTGTTTGGGAGGGTCCCTGGCCTCCCCCAAATGGCAGTGCCCTGGGTCCCACCCCTTCCTCTCGGAGACTCGCACTAATTTGTGGAGTATAAAATAGCATAACATGAGACTGACACCCAAGGACAGTAGAGACAAGAGCAGGAATACTGCTCCATAGCAGGAAGCCTGCCTCATGAGCAGGGGGGAGAAGGCAGCTGGAATAGAGAAGGGATCACTAAGAAAATGATGGTTGGAGGGATCAGTTGGGATGGAAAATGTGCATTTAAAGTAGATAAAGGATCAAACGTGATAGCTTCTCAATATCTGTATTGAAAACCATAATGCCCAAAGTAGAGAGAGAGTATGGGGGGAAATTGTCTGCCACAGAGGCAGGGGGAGGGTGGGAAAGGGGGTATATACTGGACAGATTGGTGGTGGAGAATGTGCACTGGTGGAGGGGTGGGTGTTTGATCATTGTATGATTGTAACTCAAACATGAAAGCTTATAATTGTATCTCATGGTGATTCAATAAAAAAAAAGTGACCATGTGTCATTACACACTTGTCACGACTCCACCAAAAGTGATAATATACGCTACGGGTGACAGTGTCCAGTGTAGGGTCATTGACAACCATGAACATGCCACCCAGAGACGCAGGCCTTCCTGGTCTTGAGCAAGTGGTCACGTGAGCCAGACCCAAGGGGTCAGGGGGGAGATGCTGGGACTTCCCAGGTGCCAGGTTCAGGGAGAGGCAGGAGGGTCCCTCCACACACACACACACACACACACACACACACACACACACACACACACACACATCCTTCCTCCTTCCAGGCCCCAATACCAGAGCAGGAGGCCAATGCAGATTTATTAAGGAACACACCGGGATATTTTAGCAACTCAAGTAAGCTGGAGTCATGTGCCAGTGACACCCTCAGCCTCTGACCTTTCCTAGCCCCAACCTGTCCGGTGCTCTCTCCCCAGACAGTCTGCCCTCGCCCCCCCTTACTGGCCCCCAAGCCTTCATGAGGCAGAAACGTCTCAGATCCCCGTGTCTGCACCCGGATGCAGCAGACTGAGTAGTCCCCTGCAGAGCTGTGAGTCAAAACCCACATAAATCTGCGTTGGCCTCCTCTAGAAGATACTTAATGCAGACTTTTATTTCTATTTAGGTTGTTGGGCCACCCGCAGCTGTATTCAGGACTTACTCCTGTGCTTTGAGCTCAAGGATCACTCTCCTGGTAGGGTACCCTATGAAATGTTGGGGATCAAATGCAGGTTGCCTACATTCAAAGCAAGCCTATTCACGGTTCTACCACTCTGACCCCTCATGCAAACTTCTAAAAGGAATATTAAAGAATCCCTGTCTCACCAGTCTGATGGTGTATTTCATGCAGTTTTCCATGTGGGCCTGAGGGTCCATCTTTGTAGAGATCTGGAGCAGGGGAGCTACCCCTGGCTATGTTCAGGGAATGCTCCCAACTTGGGTGGTAGTTTGGGGGAGGGGGCAGATGGGGACCATGTGGTGCATACAGAAGCCCCTAGTTCAACCCTCAGGGCTTTCCACAAGGCCAACCCCATCCCCCACCCCAGCCACCCCTCAAAGCTGAGCTTCATGATGCCTTTATGCCATGCAAGTGGAGTCAGAATCATTTCCTGCAAACACGTGCTTTGTAGCGGCGCTCAGCCAACAGACAACTTTAGAGAGACACATAATTATTAAAATAAAAAATATTTCTTTTATTTAAGTCTTTAAGCCATGAGGTTCAAGGAAATACAAGTTGTTGGAAAGTGGAAACAATGCCAAGATGTGGATGAGACTGAGTGGAGAGGCCCCTTGATCGGCACAGTGACTTTTGGCCCTTCTCGCTTGGCCAAGCCAGGTGGACCATTCTGCCTAGCCCGCGTAACAATTGCCGTAGTAACTGTCCAGGCTGAAGAGAGTTCTCAGAGACCGGTGAAGCCCCAAACTGAAATATTTACAGTACACAAAGCACATCAGTTATTCTCAAGGGTGGGAAAGACTATCATTTACCCCAAATATCTTTTGTTGTTGTTGTTGCTTTTTTTGGGTCACACCCGGCAACGCACAGGGATTATTCCTGGTTCTGCACTCAGAAATCACCCCTGGTGGTGCTCAGGGGACCATATGGGATGCTGGGAATCAAACCAGGGTTGGCGGCATGCAAGGCAAACACCCTACCCACTGTGCTATTACTCCAGCCCCCCCCCTTTTTTTTTTTGGCCGAAATATCCTCTTTATGCAAAGCTACAAAGATCCTTCATCCGTCCTTTCTTCACTCACTCATTCACACATTCTGCATTTGCTAAGCACCCACTGCATACCCAGAGACACTCTCGTACATGCTGGAGTTGCAGACAAGGACGGAGGCTCATACTTGGCCCTCAAGGATCTCGCAGGGAAAGGTGGAAAAACAAGGACGAGAGCATCACAAGCTGTGGCGTGGGCCCCATGCCTGGCTGCAGCCTTGTGGAAGAGGCGTTGGTCCTTCCTTGCTCTTCCTTTGGGGAAGGTCAAACTTCTCCGTGAGCTTTCACCAGTTCTTTCAGTTCCAGGGTTTCGACAGGATCCACAGCATGAAGACAAGTTCCAACAGACCCGGCCACAGTTCCCTCCTCAAGGCTGAGCATTTATGGGGGACGGAGGTGGCAGCCGGAAGCTGAGTCTTCATGCCAGGGACGGAAGCCCACAGGCGCTCACCTCACTCAGGTTCCTTCCACGCCTTGTCCTGGGGAGGCTGCTTGGCCTTTGCCCCCTGCCCTTCGGGTCACAGTCAGATCCCCACCTTGGCCAGACACAATCTGAGATCTCAGGGGATGGTTACAAGGCAAGTTCTTTCAACTCTCAAGCCTAAGCCTTAAGCATTCGGGGCTTAAGGGTGTGTTGGGGGAGGGGGGGTCTCTTGTTCATCTTGTTCAGCTAGGATGACTTGGCTTTTCATTGGTCATGCGTAATCTGGGTGAAAAGGGGTCCCTGATTCACATTTTGGTACAAGTGTTTGTACCCCCGCAGTCACCCCTCCCTGCTTGCTCTCTCAGATCACAGTCCTCTTCCACGTGTTTGGTGGCAGCAAATGAAGGTGCCACAGGAGTGTCCCCTTCAGAGTTGGGCAGGGTACTGAGGTACACTGGACGCCAGCAATGAGGGCTTAGGGCTTGGTGTTTGTGGGGCATCCTTTGCTACAGCCCACCTCCCTGGCCTCCAAGTGCCCCCCAACCAAGGCACATTTTGAAGGCTGGGGATGTGTGCTGTGAGCCCCTCCATCCAGGGTGGGGTCAGGCTTCTGGTTTCGATTTGGATCTCTCTGTTGCCTATGTCTCACCGGCAGGCACACAGCGGTCTCCCGTGTCCCGGGCACCGTGGCATGAAGGCCTTTCCCTACAATCATCTGGCTGAGTTCCTGGTGAGTGTTTCATCTAGGCCCTCCAACTTCAGGATCTTGGCATTAGGATTTACCAGTGTTCTCGTGATAGAAAAGTAGACAGTTCATTCTCTAAACTCAAAAGTTAAACACATTCCTTGATTCTACTACTACTATTTTTCTACTGAGTGCCTCATTTTGGTGTATCTCTGTTAAATCATTCACACACAAAAGGGGGGGGGTAAAAATCATCAGTATCAAAGTTAAGAGTTTTTCCATTTTCTACAACACCTTTTCTTTTCGGTGTTGCATCTCTTAACCTCAAAGTGCTCTACTGAGAAAACTATGAAAACCGTGGTTACTGTGCTTTAAGCACCAGTGTTCTCCTAGAAAACATACCTTTGGAAATGGTACAACTAGTGGGAATTCTAATGAGATGCAAGTCCTGGAGAGTCGGCAGATGCATCCCAATCAGGACAGCACGGAAAGGCTGACTGTCCACTGGACCACACCGAGAGCTGTTTATGACTTTCACTGAGCTGTCGTTCTGGTTTCTTCAAAAGTCATCATTAAGTTCTGTGGATATCCTTAGAGTGACGCTCTTTAAAAAAAAAAAAGACACACACACAAAGTTATTATTTTCTATTTTTTGATTTTTTTCTTGATGGATAAAGATGTTTGAGTCACAGCTGGCAGGTCCTGGTAGCTCCCCCTTGCTCAGGGGATCATGCAGTGACAGGGACCAAACCTTCTACATGCAAAGCCTATGCTCTCCTTCTTATTTTCATTGAGTTCTTTCTAGACGACACACCAAAGATCCATTATTTTTTTAAAAATTTTTTTTCTGTGGTGCTGAGACTCGAACCTGAGGCCTCACATATACATGGCTAGTGTTCTTCGTCCCCAATTAAAAACCACATCCACGTGTTAAATTATGCCATGGAACACCGAGCCACAAAACACTCACAATGCCCCTGGTGGGTTGATCTCACTAGGGTTGGGATGGAGCTTGAGTAATGTCCTGAAGAATTTTCTTGGCTTTCTATTCTTTAAGCCAGCTAACACTTCTGTTTCTGATAAGATTTTCCTCGTGGCCAAATCTGAGAAAGACCAAGCTGGACAACCTTTTTCAATGACACTTCTTTTTTTTTTCTTTTTTTCTTTTTTTGCTTTTTTGGGTCACACCCAGCGATGCTCAGGGGTGATTCCTGGCTCTGCACTCATGAACTACTCCTGGTGTTGCTTGGGTGGCCATATGGGATGCCAGGGATTGAACCCGGGTCGGCTGCATGCAAGGCAAATACCCTACCTGCTGTACTATCGCTCTAACCCTCAATGACACATTTTTAATCTTCCAAGAAGATCTTTCTTGGGACCAAAACAAGTGCTCAACAGGTCAAGGGCATGGGCTGCATGCAGGAAGCCCAGGATCAATCCCTTGCACCAGATGGTCCATGAGTACTCACTAAGACACGCCCCCCTACCCCCAAACACAGAGCCAGGAATAGCCCAAGGAATGTCAGATATGCCCCCACAAAAATAAATAAATAAATAAATAAATAAATAAATAAATAGGGCTGGGGCGATAGTACAGCAGGTAGGGCGTTTGCCTTGCATGCAGTTGACCCAGGTTCAATTCCTGGCATCCTGTGTGATCTACTGATCACTGCCAGCAGTAATTCCTGAATGTAAAGCCAGGAATAAGCCCTGAGCATCACCTGGTGTGGTCCCAACACTAAAACAAATAACTAAAAAATGAGGAATTCAAATAATAAGCTTTAGAAAAAAAATATATATATATTTCCTGGGCCTAGGATGTAGCTATGGTGATAGAGCACATACCTTATATATGTGAGACCCTGGGTTCCATCCTTGAGACCACATGCCTCTTCTCCCTCTTCTCCCACCCCTCGCCACCAGAACTGGCCCGGATGCCCAGCCCCCGGCACCTACTATTTATGACCCCATCTACGAACTACCACAATAATAAAAAGCTTAGTTCAGGGGCTGGAACGATAGCACTGCAGGGAGGGTGTTTGCATTGCACACAGCCAACCTGGGTTAAATCCCTGGCATCCCATATGGTCTCCCAAGCACCGCCAGGAGCAATTCCTAAGTGCACAGTCAGGAGTAACCCCTGAGCATCGCTGGGTGTGACCAAAAAAAGAAAAAAATGTTTAGTTCAAACAGAAGGTAAGGGGCTGGAGTGATAGCACAGCGGGTAGGACATTTGCCTTGCATGCAGCCAACCCCGGTTCGATTCCCAGCATCCAATATGGTCCCCTGAGCACCGCCAGGAGTAATTCCTGAGTGCAGAGCCAGGAGTAATCCGAGCATCACAAGGTGTGACCCAAAGAGGAAAAAAAAAATAAAACAGAAGGTAAGACCTTTGCCAAAAGAAAACCATTACAAAAATTTAAAAATGGAACAAATAAAAGAGGTAAAAAGGAAAAGAACTAGGACATATGACATTAAGCATCCATGACAAGGGATGTACAAAACTGTTAGCAATCTTAGCCAAGGAGATAGTACAGCAGTTAGGGCACTTGTCTGGCATGTGGCCAACCTGGGTTCAATCCCTGTACCACATATGGTCCCCCAAACCCCTAGGAGTGATCCCTGAGTACTGCCATGTATAGTCCCCCCCCACTCTAAAACAAACCCCCAAAAATCTTCAAAACTGCTCTCTGTTGGGGGAGGTTACCTTGGGTGTTGCCCTTGGAAATAAACCAAATCATACAAAATGCTCACAACCTTTCCAAACTAATGAGAGTCAAAAGAGAGATGCTTCTGTTATATTTTCAAATAGTTTTTCTATGAATTGTTATGGATTCTGTCAACCAATTCTAATATTTGAAGGGAGGAACACTTACCTGGAAATCTTGGACGAATGTTAGAAAGTAGAAAATAAAACCAAAGGCCACCGTCCATTCACAGATCGCACTCACTACGTGATATATGTAATCCTAATAGCAAGAATAAAGAAACAGGGTTTAGCTGACACAGACTCATGTGAGAACAAGACTAAAATCAAGTACCCATAGCACAGCCGGTAGGGCGTTTGCCTTGCACGAAGCCGACCTGGATTCAATTACCAGCATCCCATATAGTCCCCTGAGCACCTCCAGGGGTAATTCCTGAGTGCAGAGCCAGGAGTATCCCCTGTCCATCACCGGGTGTGACCCAAAAAGAAAGAAAAAAGAAAAGAAAAAGAAATCACAGGCCCGCCCAGAGGAATAAACAGACCAGGGAGCATCAACCAATTCCCTGCAGGGAATATGGCAAAACCAATAGAACAACATCAACTCAGGGGGTGCCCCTCTCCTCCCAACCAACATGGGCATTAATACAATTATTCCAGAAGATCCTGCTCACTCCCACTCACTCTGGCTTTAAAAACTCCACCTCCCAGGATGGGAGAAGCATGCTGAAAGTAGACTATAGACTGAACAATGCCTCTTTTGCAAACCACAACACCCAAAAGGAGAGAGAACAAAAGGGAATGCCCTGCCACAGAGGCAGGGTGGGATGGGGGGGATGGGGGGGATGGGAGGGATACTGGGATACTGGGATCCGTGGTGGTGGAAAATGGGCACTGGTGGAGGGATGGGTACTTGATCATTGTATAACTTAAACCCAAGCACAAAAATTTGTAAGTCTACAACTGTACCTCATGGTGTTTCACTAATAAAAATTAGTGAAACCGAACAGGCCTCATGCATGAAAGAACTGGTAGAGGAACTCAGGCATGCGGGTCCCGGGGCTGAGGTCTCCAAGCCTACTTGGATTGGGACTGGGCCTTCTCCACCCAGACCCCCCCCCCCCATCTTCCAGTAGGTAGGCGTCACACTCACCAGCTGCCGCCAGTGCCAGGTTAGTCCCATCAACGGCCAAGATGCAGAGACTATAAAACCCAGTTCCCGGAGGAGAACAGTTCAGAATCTCCTGCCCCTGCGCCTGGCTGTCCTCACCGGGGCCCCTCGGAGGGAGGAGGGTTGAGTTTCTCTCCCCCCCACCCCACTCTGAGCAGAGCCCCAGCAGCTGAAGATCTCCGGAGCCAGCCACAGCCATGCTGGGACCACTCTCCACACGTCCGGACGGGCCTCATCATGAATAAAAATTAAAAAAAAAAAAAACTCCACCTAAATGGGGCTGGAGTGATAGTAAAGTGGGTAGGGTGTTTGCCCTGCAGGCGGCCAACCTGGGTTGATTCCCAGCAAATCCATATGATCCCACGCACACTGCAAGAAGTAATTCCTGAGTGCATGAGCCAGGAGTAAGCCTGTGCACTGCCAGGTGTGACCCAAAAAGCAAAAAAAAAAAAAAAAAAAAAACCCAAAAAACAAAAAACAAACAAACAGAAAAAAAAAAACATGCTCCAACTGAATAACTTCAAAATGGCTAAGACAGAGAAGCAAGACTGGTTTCTGTGAGGTTTGCTCAGGGATCAAACAGCTGTCAGCTGTGATATAGCATTTGCAAAATCAAAGATCACCCTACCCTGCCCCCACAGGACTCATTGGCCCCATAGCCCATTTGGTGCCAAGGTTGTAAGATCTGCCCAGGAGCACACCCCAGTGTCTCCTGTTTCTTAACTTTACTTTGTCTCTGGCCCTTTGTCTGCACCAGGTGAGGTCTGTGACCTTTCAGTCTCCACAGAGGGAGTCCACAGGAGACAAGATTCATCCTCCCACTTTTGGAAACAGGAATCCCAAAGCTGAACACACACTTAGCAAGGTCTACGCAGGCCTGGGTCCCTGCAGAGGGAGGGTGGTAGCTGGTGGAGAGTGCCAATCCCCTGGAGTCTGTTTCTCTGTTACTGTAGACAATTTTGAGGGGGAGGGATGGGTGATCTCCCCCCATCTCCCCATACTTCCGGACGCCAGGCAGTCATGCACATGCCCCAAAACTGCCAGTCAGTTAAGAATTTAACTCCAGCTGTATCAACCGATTAAAAACTTTGGACAGGGGCTGGAGCGATAGCACTGTGGGTAGGGCATTTGCCTTCCACCTGGACGACCCAAGTTTGATTCCCAGCATCCCATATGGTCCCCCGAGCACTGCCAGGAGTAATTCCTGAGTACATGAGCCAGGAGCAACTCCCGTGCATCGCCAGGTGTGGCCCAAAAAGCCAAAAAAAATAAAAGGTAAAAAAAAGGTAAAGGCCCTCCCGTTGATCGTCGATTTGCTCGAGCGGGCCCAGTAACGTCTCCATTGGAGACTTTGTTGTTACTGTGTTTGGCATATCGAATATGTCAAGGGGAGCTTGCCAGGCTCTGCCGTGCGGGCGAGATACTCTCGGTAGCTTGCCGGGCTCTCCGAGAGGGGCGGAGGAATCGAACTCGGGTCCGCCATGTTGGCCGCTTGTAAGGCGAACGCCCTACCCGAGTTCGATTCCTCCGCCCCTCTCGGAGAGCCCGGCAAGCTACCGAGAGAGAGTATTCGATATGCCAGACACAGTAACAACAAAGTCTCCAATGGAGACCGTTACTGGGCCCGCTCGAGCAAATAAAAATTAAAAAAAAAAAAAGAAAGAAAGAAAATTAAAAAATAAAATTAAAAAAATTAAAATTTTGGACAGCCTGGAGCACATGGTCAAGATATCAATACGCAACATCTCAAACTCTGTGACACATATATACCAGGAGTAGCACACCAGATTGGACAGGATGTGATGTTGAAAGCAACCAGTCTTGATTAGCAAAATATCAACACAAAAGGCTTGAACTGAACCAACATCTTAGTCATCTCTTATACAAGGACTTAAGGGCTCAAGGGTGAGATACATCAATCGTCACTTTCTTCTATGGAAACATTCTTTGATCATCCTTTTAGCAAATTATTTATAACCTGCAATGTAAAATAAATTATTGACACCTGCTGTGGGGACAGGCTCAAGGGGTGGCTGGGAAAATTGAAAATAATGGTGTTGGGAAGGTGGAAAGGTGGTGGGATTGGTGTTGGAATACTGAATGCCTGTAACTAATGGCCTAGTAAAGTGAAAGAAAGAAAGAAAGAAAGAAAGAAAGAAAGAAAGAAAGAAAGAAAGAAAGAAAGAAAGAGAGAAGGAGAGAACGAGAGAAAAAGAGAAAGAAGGAAGGAAGGAAGGAAGGAAGGAAGGAAGGAAGGAAGGAAGGAAGGAAGGAAATGTTGGGGCCAGAGCAATTATAGTCCAGCAGGTTGGATGTTTGTCTTGCATGCAGGTGACCTGAGTTCCATCCCCAGCACCCCATATGGTTCCCCAAGCCTCACCAGGAATTATCCCTGAGCATAAAGCCAGGATTAACTTCTGAGCACTACTGGGTGTGGCAAAAGAAAAAGAAACCAAGACAAAATAAATAAATAAATAAATAAAACAGCCAAGATCAGTTCAGGGACCAAGAGATTTGGGAATACGGGGAGGGTTGGGCATCTGCTTTGCACATAGCTGACCAGAGTTTGATACCTGGCACCAACATATAGTGCCTGACCCCCAATCCTAATCACTGGGATTGACCCCCATAGGCACAGCTGGGCGTGGCCCCCAAAACAAAAACAAACGGGTTCAGGCAACAGCTCTGCTTAACATTCCTCATGAGGTAAACAGGATTACAAAGCAAATGCTACTGCGTCAAGTCCTTCTACCTTCCTGGGGGCATAAACCAGAACAGATGAAGAATTATTTGGGTAAGCGGGGGGTGTGGTGGGGAGGTGTAGTTAGGGAAAAGAAGGTACCACTAACACAATGATAGTTGGGAATGATCACTCTGGACAAGAACTGAGTGCTGAAAAGAGGTAAAGGGATATACATGATAACCTTTTTGTACCTATACTATAAACCATCATGAGACTTGTTACTGTGTTTGGCATATCGAGTACGTCACGGGGTAGCTTGCCAGGCTCTGCCGTGTGGGCGAGCTACCCGTGACGTATTTGATATGCCAAACACAGTAACAAGAAGTCTCATGATGGAGACGTTACTGGGCCTGCTCGAGCAAATCGATGAACAACGGGAGGACCGTGACCGTGACTATAAACCATAATGCCCAGAAGAAAGAGAAGGAGTAAGAGTGAGAGAGAAAGAAATATGACTGCTATAGAGTCAGGCTGAGATGGTGAGATGAGGAGGGGGGCGGGAACTGGGGACATTGTTGGTGGGAAATGTTCCAGCACGGGACAGGTGCTGGAACATTCCTATGACCAAAACCAAGCCATGAACAATTTTGTAATTCACATATATATTCATGCATATATACTGAATTAACATATAACTGTACTAAGAGAATACATTATCTTACCTTAGAGTAAATTTGTTTACTGTTAAAAAAAAAAAGAATTATTGGGGGGGGGGTGATTTTCTCGTTTTGGGCTACAGCAAGTGGCACTTAGGGCTTCCTCCTGGCTCTGCACTCAGGGACCATTCCAGGTAGGACTTGAAGTACTTTATGGGGTACCTGGTTGACCGTGAGCAAGGCATACTATCTCTCCAGCCCCGAGATTAAGAATGATTTTAATTCTGTTCCGTAATCTAATGATCTGTCCTTATTCCAGTACACTGGTGAAGGGACTGGGGTCGGAACACAGTAACCCTGAAACTCAATCATGTTTGTAATACAGTGCTTCAATTTTTCAAAATTAATTTAAATAGGGAAAAAAAATTTTATCAGAGTTTCCAGTGTCAGCTACCTACAGGCATTTACTCAAGATCAATGAAAACTCTGGTTGCAAAAAGAGGGCAGGGAGGAAGGCCTTGTGTCTCCCTCATGAATTCCACACTCACCAGGTGGAAAAATAAGACCCCAGGGTGGCTTTGAGAGATTGTATTTGAGCTTATAACTGACACAATCTAAAAATCCTGCTATCTTTCTTGGCTTTTGATTCACACCCACAATGCTCCGGGCACCGGGCAGTGTTGGGGATGGAGACTTGGGAGATTGAAATGCAAAGCAAACACTCCAGCCCTTTGAGCCATCTCCCTAAGCCCTAAAAAGGAATTTCTAAACACCATCAAGGTTAAAAATCAACCAACCAACAAAAAAGAACACGATGCATTCTAACTTCAGTCTCTGTGCCAAGTTGACGGGTGGAGGAAGTAATTCGTGAACAGTTTCCCAATAACGACCTTTCCTCTCCCTCACTCCACTCTACTACAGGTTTCAAGCCTGAGGAAGCTGGTGAGGCAGGGCAGGATGGCCTCTGGAGATGGTTCAGTTTTCTGCTGGTTTATGGCCACAAAGATTTCATGAGGTGGGGCTGGAGCGATAGCACAGCGGGTAGGGCGTTTGCCTTGCATGCGGCTGACCCGGGTTTGATTCCCAGCATCCCATATGGTCCCCTGCCAGGAGAGAATCCTGAGTGTAGAGCCAGGAATAACCCCTGAGCATTGCCGGGTGTGAGCCAAAAAAGCAAAAAAAAATTCATGATATATATCACTCCAGGCAATGCTCAGAGGCTGAATAGGGGTGGGGGATCCAACCTGAGCTTTTGCTCCTGACCCCTGTACTCTCTCCCCTCCACTATTCTGGAGAGGTGAACTCTCAACAGAGCAGGGGAGAAGCTCACCACCTCTCTATTTAAATTAATTTTTAAAAATTGAGTCACTGTGAATTAAAAAAGTTATTCATGATTTTCAGGATTACTGTGTTCCAACCCCAGTTCCTTCACCAGCATACTGGAATAAGGACAGACCGTTAGATTATGGAACTGAATTAAAGTCATTCTTAATCTCAGGGCTGGAGAGATAATACACCGTCTCATAAGGTACTTTGAGCCAACCAGGCATCCCATAAAGTACTCTGAGCCCCACCAGGCGTTCTTCCTGAGTGCAGAGCCAGGAGGAAGCCCTGAGCACCACTGGGTGTGATCCCACACATACCAAGAACACAGGTACCTCTCGCATGAACAGACCCACACACCGACCCTCAAAAATAGCATCCCTGGACAGCGAAGCTGCTTAGAGAAATAAAAGCAAATCAGGGAAGCATCTGGATTTCTGCAGTACATTTCTAACAATTTCTTCATTGTTAGAATTGGGGACCACATCCAGTGGTGCCTAGCGGCCACTCCTGGTTCCATGCTTGGGGGTCACTCCTAGTGGTGTTTGGAGGAACACATGATACACATGATACCGGGTCTAAACCCAGGAGACGTGTGCCAAGCACACACACAGCCCAGGGGGCTATGGCCTCAGGCCCTTTCGGGTGGTATAAATGAAAGAACACAGACCCAGGAGTGCACCTCACATGTGAACATCCCTAAAGTTCTCGTCTGACTGTGAAATGGGAGACAGCAGCACCCCAACTCCCTCACTCCCTGCCCAGGGCTTCACAGTGCTAAAACAGGGCTTTTATTCTTTCGTACCCGAAGAGCAGCGTGTGTGTGTTCACCACCGGACAGGGCCGTGAAAACCAGCTCCCTAGAGCATGCCGGGGCGTCTGGAACAGTCCCTAAAGGATGGTTCCAGTCTGAAATACCGAGAGTCTCCTCTGCATTCACTGAGAGCTTTAGAATGGATGAGAGATGGTATTGCTGTCTCTCGGGGAGTAAATAGCAAACCAGGTACTTTTTCACTTTTTTGTGTTTGTTTTTGGAAGTGCTAGGGATCAAACCCAGGTCTCAGGCATGCCTGGCGTGCACCTTAGCACTGAGGCACATCATCCACTTTGCACAGTTGGAAAATAAAACAGGAATGAGTTTTGTATGCCCAGGGCTGGATCTCCTAGACTGTGAGCAGCTTTATTTGTGGTGGAAGGTCTCCCTCCAGTGGTAGTAGAGTGAACTACACCTGGGGCGCCATGAGGAGGGCTCCAGGAGAGAACATTTTGAAAACTTCTACCTGGATCATTCGTTGCCTCTGTGAGCTGTCGCTGGACGCTATCATATTCCATCTTAGAAAAATCCTTTCTCTGATCCTGCATCCCCCTCTAACCATCACCCATTCTCTTCTCAACCTCTGAACACCTCAGCAAGAGCTGAATGTACCCCCTGCCATTGGCTTCTCAGTACAATGCACTGGAACAGCCTCATTTGACTTTTAAACGCTGATTGATGGGGCTGGAGCAATCGTACAGCGTGTAGGGCGTTTGCTTTGCACGCAGCGACCCGGGTTTGGTCCCCGGCATCCCATATGGTCCCCCGAGCACCACCAGGGGTAATTCCTGAATGCATGAGCCAGGAGTAATCCCCGAGCATCTCTGGTGTGACCCAAAAAGAAAACAAACAAACAGATAAATAAATAAAAGCTGATTGGTGGGGATGGAGCAACAGTAGAGTGGGAGTTTGCCTTGCACGTGGCCAATCCCCGGCATCCCATATGGTCCCCCCCCCCCCCCCCCAGCACCGCCGGGAGTGACTCCTGAGTGCGGAGCCAGGAGTAAGCTTTGAGCATCACCAGGTGTAACCCAAACAGCCAAAAATAAATAAATAAACAAAGTTGATTGGTGGGAGGAGCCTAGGCCAGCCCTGGCAGTGCTCAGGGGGGGCCTATGCAGTGCCTGGGATATGACAGGAGGCCACTGGAGGCAATCAAGGCCTTAGCTCCTGACCCATCACTCCAGTCCCTGAAACTGTCTTGATAAACAGCAGCAACCCCACCCAGCCCTCGATTCTGAAGTGGCTCCAAGAATTGTGGCAGCCGGTCAAAAAATGACGGTCACTCCAGGGAAGATGCTCAGGGCTGGAGAATGAATCTTGGAAGGTTCTTGGGCCCAGCACCTCCGTTCTCAGCAACACCCCAAAGCAGAGGCTGACTACTGCCAAGAGTGGCCCCTGCACCCCCAAACATTGCTTGGGAGGGCCCTATAGAGAGAAAACAAGACGTGACCCATCACTACCCCAGGCTCTGAGGGTTCTTGCTCCCTCACCAGGCCGGCCCAGGGTCTAACTTCGAGTTCCTAACATGTTTCCAACCATTCGCTTTTCCTGGTCACGTCTGCTTTCTTCTGAGTCTCATGCCATGGTTCCCCACTTACACAGTTTTCACTGTGGCCCCGCGGATTCTCCCAGTCTAAGCAGGCACTTTTCAGTCCTGATTCACAGACCCTCACAAGTCAACACCAGACCCACCCACAGGAAGTCACTTCTACCTGTCAGGGACAATGTCCGGTCAAGGGAACAAATTCTTTGGTTCACCCATGTTTAAAGGGGGGGGGGGGGGGAACCCTTGCCAATCAGGCTGCAGAGATAGTTCAGGAGGTAGGACACTTGACTGCACACAGCTGGCCCTGGTTTGATCCCCAGTGCCACCAGGAGTGATCCAGGAGCAGAGTCAGGTGTGGCCCAAGAACCAAACCAAAACAAACAAACAAACAAAAAACCTTGTTTCTATCCCTCATGCCCCTTCATTCTCCCCACTCTGTTATGCTGCCCATCAAACATTCTGCTGTGACTGCATGCAGAACAGTCCTGGTCTCAGGAGGGGGGTTAACGTTGCCACAGCCTCGCTCAGCCATTCTGACCAAGAGCCAGTTAACATCCCTGCCTTGGCCTTGTCGGCTCAGAGGCCTTTAGGGGCTAATCCAGCCACACATCTTCCCTGCAAATTCATCCCATGCCACACAGACAGGTGCCGCCTCATGCTGAAAGGAACAATTCAGTCAGTGCTGGCATGGGAGCCTGGCTTGGCCCCTCTGAGGAACAATTTCACTCTTTCTTACTCCTTGGCCCACCTCAGTTCCTGCCTGTGAACGCTCAACCTTTTTTTTTTTTTTTTTGGATTTTTGGGCCACACCCAGCGATGCTCAGGGGTTACTCCTGGCTCTGCATTCAGGAATCATTCCTGGCAGTGCTCAGGGGACCATCTGGGATGCCAGGAATCGAACCTGGGTCCGCTGCGTGCAGGTAAATGCCCTCCCCACTGTACTATCGCTCTGGGCCCTGCCCAACCTCTTCAGCAAATGCACAGATGTTTGCAAAGAGGCAGGAGCTTAATAAGTTGAACATCATCCCCGGAACCATTCTGGGGATCTTTCAAGATGCACAGCAGAAGGAAATTACCCTGCGAGCGGATGAGGACACTGGCATTGCTCCCTAGTCAGAGAGTAAGTTACTGATGGCCCCCGTGTTCTGAGCAATGCCAGGGGGCCTTCCTAGCACAGCCACAGTGTCTTATGACCAGGTGCAGTGTCCACAGGGAGGCGGACTTACCTTTTCTTTCGGATTCCACTCCAGCTTGGTTATAGAAATGAGCGATGCACAGGCAATCACTGGGAAACGTTAAGGAAAGCAGGGAAGGAAAAGACCACTTCACATTCACATGCAGTTCTTCTTCCCTGGTTGGTAATAAGCATCATCATCCCACACTGCAAGACCCGTGCCCCCTACCCCCCGCCCCGCCCAGGGGGCCAAATGCAAACACCTGGCTGGGATAGAGCTCACACACAGCAGAGCACAACATGTCTTGCACCAGTCGCGCCTGAGGTTTGATGCTCCACCCCCAACCCCCACCCGGTGTCTGGATGTAACCCCCCCACAACGCAGCTACAAACTAAACCCCAGCCAACCAGAAAAACAGGAAGTGTTGGCAAGGAAGTATCCAAATTGGAACTCTCGTGAACGGTTGGGAAAGAAAAAACGGGGCTAAGACACTGGGGAAAATACAGAGGTTCCTCAAAACACTGAAAATAGAGTTAGCCATGTGACCCAGCAACCCACTTGTGAGCAGACCGGAGAGGGCCGAACACGGGGACCCCTCACCCCCAGGGACCTGGCAGCTTACGGAACCAGCGCTAAAACCAGAGCTTCTTCCACCCTCCTCTTCTGCCATCCACAGGAGATGGCATAAGCCAAGTATGGAATGGCCATGCCAGGCGATATCATTTCAGGAGCATCCTAGAGTATCATGAACTGTTACTGACATCCCTTACTGTGCTCCTACTGGGATGTTAGTATTGTAGAGTTTGGAGATGTTGTTCCAGAAAAATATAATGGACCCAAGAAATCAAATAGTGGGGAGGGCGCTTACCTTACATGCTGCAGACTCCAATTTGATCCCTGGCACCCAGATGGTCCAGTGAGCCCCCACCAGGAGTGCTCCCTGAGCACTGCCACCTGTGATCCCAAAACATACAAACAACCAGAAATTTTTCCACGCAGAGTGGTGACCACCTCTCTGATCCTATGAAGTTATATAACGGAAGTCAAAAGCAGAAGCTGGGGGGTAGAAAAACTAACATTAGGGATTTAAACTGTGAGTACTGTTAAGTTTAACACCCTTTGGGGGTGGGCCAGCTCCCGTCCTGCCAAAGCCTTCGCAGTCATTGCCACGCCTCCTGCCGAACTGCCCAGTTAAATATTCTGGATTTTCTGGAAGAACATCTCCAAACTCTATAGTACTAACACTGCCGTAAGAGCTCACAGATTGGATGGGAATGTGACGTAGAAGCCAATCAATCTCGACTCACGGAAACATTACATGGTAGGTTTAGCTAGCAGCAACAGCTTAGTAAAACTCAGACAAGGATTTAATGTCCCCGTGGTGAGATAACAACAATTTTCACAAATTTCCTTCTATGGAAATATTTTTTGATCATTCTGTTAGTCATGCAGTGGTAAAATAAATTATAGTATGCCTGTTACGGAGGCAGGCTTGAGGGGTGGTTGGGAAAATGGAGACCGTGGTGGAGGGAAGGTTGACATTTGGGGTGGGATTGGGGCTGGAATAGTGAATGCCTGTAAGAAACCATCATGAACTTGTATAGAACCGAGGTGTTTAAATGAAGTGGGGAGGGGCTGGAGCAATAGCACAGTGGGTAGGGCATTTGCCTTGCACGCGGTTGACCTGGATTCGATTCCTAGCATCACATATGGTCCCCCGAGCACCGCCAGGGGTAATTCCTGAGTGCAGAGCCTGGAGCAACCCCTGTGCGTGGCCGGGTGTGACCCAAAATGCAAAATAAATAAATAAATAATAAATGAAGTGGGGAAAAAATGGGCTGGAGCGATAGCACAGTGGTAGGGCGTTTGCCTTGCACGCAGCCTGCCCGGCCGAGCCAGGTTCGATTCCTCCGCCTCTCTTGGACAGCCTGGAAAGCTACCGAGAGTATCTCACTGCACGGCAAAGCCTGGCAAGCTCCCTGTGATGTATTCGATATGCCAAACACTGTAACAAGTCTGAAAATGGAGACATTACTGGGCCCACTCGAGCAAATCGATGAACAATGGGAGGACAGTGTTTTTTGTTTTGTTTGGGGAAAAAATGTTGAACCCCTCCTGGTTTTTGGGGTCATACCAGTTGGTCCCCCGAGCACCTCCAGGAGTAATTCCTGAGTGCAGAGCCAGGAGCAACTCCGGCTGGTTGCATGGTTGGGTGTGACCCAAAATGCAAAAAAATAAATAAATAAATAAAAAATAAATGAAGTGGGGGAAAAATGGTGGACCATTTGGACCACCAAATTTGAAGTGGTCCAAGGGGCTGGAGAGAGAGAGAGAGAGAGAGAGAGAGAGAGAGAGAGAGAGAGAGAGAGAAGAAAAGTGCCTGCCATAGAGCATAGAGGCGGGCTCGTGTAGGGGAGGGGTGGCAGGACAGATAATGGGGGCACTGGTGGCGGAAAATATATATGTGGAGGGATGAATGTTGGAATACTATATGACTGAAACCCAATCGTGAAAGCTTTGTAACTGTATCTCACAGTGACATGGTGATTCGATTAAAAAAAAAAAAGGCGTGGACTGCCTGCCTCATATGTGGAAGCCCTGGGTTCCATCCCTGTCACCACATGATCCCTCAAACACTATTGGGAGAGAGCCTAATAACTGTGGGTGTATCCCCTTCAAAAAAGTTTTAAAGCTTCCTCTCAACTCAGAATCAACACCTTCTCTTGCTGTCCAGGTGCAGAGCCAAGATCTAGAAACAACACAAATGCCAGCAGATAGCAGGGTGAATGAAGGACGACTGAGCGATAAATACAATGGAATACTACCCGGGTCCAAGATGAAATCTTCCCATGGGCTACAATTTGGACGGAACCAGAGTGCATCATGTTTGGGGAAATATGTCAGAGGAAGGAGAACAGGTATCCAGTGACCTCCCTCCGAAGAGAGGTATGTAAAGAGACAAAGAGAGGGCAGGGATGGGACCGTGTCCAGTGAAAACAAACCTTTGGACTCTGACAACAGAACTGAGAAGGGGGGAGGAGAGGACGGGGTGGATGAGCAGTGTCCTAAGGACCTGGAGGGCTTCTGGTCCTTTGGTGGTAGTGAAGGTGCAGGAACCAAGTACAGCAGAAGCACTAGCCTGAATACCACGATAACGTTCTCTCAATAACAATATTCTTTAAAAGAATGTAAAATAAAGAGAGAGCTAAAAATACCAGAGCTTGGAAGATAGCTCAGTGGCTTAAAAAAAAATCTTTACTTACTTGCTGCTGGAGCAATAGCACAGTGGGTAGGGCATTTGCTTTGCACGCAGCTGACCCGGGTTCGATTTCTCCATCCCTTTCCCCTCTCAGAGAGCCCGGCAAGCTACCAAGAGTATCCCACCCGCACGGCAGAGCCTGGCAAGCTCCCCGTGGCGTATTCGATATGCCAAAAACAGTAACAACAAGTCTCACAAATGGAGACATTACTGGTGCCTGCTCGAGCAAATCGATGAACACGAGAGGACAGTGCTACAGTGCTACAGATCTGCTGGAGCAATACGCTGGAGCAAAAGCGGGGAGTGCCATCCGACCCGGGTTCAATCTCCGGCACCCCAGAGCACTCTCCTGCGCTCTTCAGGAGTGATCCCTGAGCTCACCGCCAGCAGCAAGTCCCAGGCACTGCCGGGGGTGGCCCCCAAACCAAAAGATAAAGGTACCTGCCCTGCCCATAACTTGGATCTCTCATGCCGCTCATATGCCGAGCAAGATCCCGGCAGTGAGCGCAGGACTTTAGCACCCAGCCTGCTGTGTGGGACCCCCCCCCCCCAAAAAAAAAAGCGCAACTAGCAAAGATGGAGGTGTGGGGTGTGGATGAGCAACAGTACAACAGGTAAGGCATTTGTCTTGCATGTGGCCAACCTGCTTCAAACCCCGGCACTGCATATGGTCCCCAGAGCCCCATCCAGGAGTGATCACTGAGCAGAGTCGGGAGTGAGCCCTGAGCACCACGGGGTGTGGGCTCACAACACTCTGTGCCCACAACACTCTGTGCCCCCTGCTAAAAAAAATATATATATGTGTGTGTGTGTGTGTGTGTGTGTGTGTGTGTGTGTGTGTGTATGTATGTATGGGCTGGAGTGATAGCACAGCCATAGGGCGTTTGCCTTGTGCACAGCAGGCCCAGCCGAGCCGGGTTCGATTCCTCTGCCACCTCGGAGAGCCTGGCAAGCTACCGAGAGTACCTCGCCTGCATGGCAAAGCCTGGCAAGCTCCCCGTGATGTATTCCATATGCCAAACACAGTAACAACAAGTCTCACAATGGAGATGTTACTGGGCCCGCTCGAGCAAATCAATGAACAATCGGAGGGCAGTGCAGTGCAGTGCAGTGTGTGTGTGTGTGTGTGTGTGTGTGTGTGTGTGTGTGTGTATACTCCTGCCCCCGCGCCTGGCTGTCCTCGCCGGGGCCCCTTGGAGGGGAGTGGGTTGAGTTTCCCTCCCCGCCCCGACCAGGGCTCCGGCAGCCGAAGACCTCCAGAACCAGCCACCACCATGCTGAGACCACTCTCTGCACGCATGATGGTACCAGCAGAGGAACAAAGGCATGCGGGTCCCGGGGCTGAGATCTCCAAGCCTGCTCGGATCAGGGCTGAGCATCCTCCACCCAGATCCTCCAAATTCCAGTAGGCAGGGGTCACATTCACCAGCTGGACCCCTGGCGCCGTGTAATCCCATCAACAGTCAAGACTCAGAGACTATAAAACCCAGCTCCTGGAAGCTCTTATTATCTCATTCCTACTTTGGACAACCTGGCAGTCTACCGAATGTAACCTGACCACACGGCAGAGTCTGGCAAACTCCCCGTGGCATACCCAATATGCCAAATACCAGTAACAATGATGGGTCTCACTCTCCTAACCCTGAAAGAGCCTTGAATATGGCACCTTTTAAAAAATCTCAGGGCTAGGATGAAGGAGACGTTACTGGGGCCTCCTCAAGGCAATCGACGAACAACAGGATGGTCGTGATCATGATATATATATATATATATATATATATATATATATATATATATGGTTTCTCTTACAGTTATTTTTTCCCCTTACTGAATTCTCATAGGGCAGAGGCA